TTTTTTTTTTTTTTTTCTTCCTCTCCACAATTGAATGTTAAATTCATCGTTGTTTTAAATTTAATCAACCTGCCGTCGAGAAGAATCGTCGATGGACAAACTTTGCTCGTATTGATTCGCATTGAAATTTCCATCCATTCATTTTGTTAATCAATGCTGTTAACCTTATTCCTGTGTTTAAACGAACCGTTCGCCAAGCTTGGCAATACGAATCGATTGAATTTCATGAATTTTAAAATAGCAGATACAGACGATTGGCTATCTTTTTAGTTGTACATATTAGGCTATTGATGTATATTATACATGTTTAAATTATTCTCATTTTTTTTTTCATTTTGTTGTACGTAGCTACTTTTTATTCTCTTTCTTTTCCTATTTTAAGAAGCTACTGACACGTATTTAATTTAGAGCGAAGCCTTGTACAAGTCTCTGAATACTGACGTAACGTAACGATCGAATTAGCTACCTTGGAAAAATTAAATAAATAATTGAGAAAAAAAGAAACATTTTACGCTAGTTAAAAAACGATTATCAAAGAATGCAGTTCCTTGTTGCAAAGGACAAAGTTTTGGCTCCTTTTTTTTAACGATCACGTTGTCTCATTATTCGGAGAGTGCACGAAGATGCTAAAACGTCGTGTTGGAAATGTTACGATCGAGTTTTAGATTCTCTAATCTATCAACTATTGCATCTAAGCGTGATCACGTGTCGTTTCTTGAGAACGAGTGCTGGACAGACTGCGGATTTCTACGCATTCACGAGAAATTCGAAGAATTAAATTCGCAAAAATTCGGAGAATGCGTATGATGTACGAAAATACATAAAATATTTAAAGTTAAATGTTCGTCATTACGTTCAATGGGTGAAGCCTATTTCCACGTTTCTTGCGTTTCTTACATTCTCATTTATCAGAGTATAAAATTGCGTAAAAATCTGCGATCTAGCGGCGAGAAACGAAAACCACCCAGCACACGGGTAGAACTTTAGTACAAAACGCGACGAAAGTTAGCTGACATTTCCTAGCTTTGTGAACGTAACACGAGACGATGTATGTTCGTAGTCTTTAGTTCTTCCATTTGATAACTTTTGTAAAGTATTATAACACTTGAACGATGGGCAATAAACGAGAGACTTATATTCGTTCGTTATACACGTAGACGCGAGAGAAGTTGTCTTTGATCCAACTATGTTCTATTACTCACCATTTCACGATGGTTCGGATAGTAAGTTTGCTCGATCAACGGGAAGTTGTCTTTCCCCAGACGACGTTGAAGTCCAAGTAGGTGCGCAAACACCCATGGTTTGTCCTGAAGGAACGGTCGCAGTTAAGAAAGCCATTCTCATGTTAAACTGACAAAGTTCTTAATCGTTCTCTTTATTCGAAGTATTTTCAACTTGGTCGTTCAAACTCACGTCCAAGTTCGCGTACCTGAAAGTTGTAAATTGCCGTGAGGTTGTTAACGCTCGGGACACCGCCGTACATTAAACCGAGAAGAAGGTTCTTGTAGTCTTCACCTGCGTCCTTTAGGTTTTGTCGTATCAGGACGAAATCTGGTTTGAACGATCTGTCGACAGGATTTCACCGCTTTATTTCTTGCAGTTAAAATAGTAACACACGTAACAACCAGACTGTAGATTTTATGCATTTATACGAAACTGGAGAAAATATATCTATATTTATATCTGAAGAATCATGTTTTTTTTTAATAATATTTATCGTTGGTACGCGAAATAATTTTCTATCGAGGACCATTCTAGTTATATCCTGAAAAACCACGATTCATAGTCTAATAACGAAATGGCTCCACCCATCAGAAACTGATATCAATAGGTATTTTATTTTTTCATCTCCAAGTTTCTCACAAATGCATAAAAACGTACAGTTAAATAGCTAGTGCGATACGTTACGTTAGATGAATTGAAAGATAACATTACCGAATGACTTTGGTCCCGTTACGGTAAACCGCCATGGACACAACGCTGCCAGTCTCGGTCGCAGTCAACGACAATTCCCGAAATTCCGCCTGCTCTACGCGGATCTCGTAATCACCGTGAAGCCTACGACCCCGGAAATATTTGCTCCAGTCGGTATTCTGGTCGTCGATAACCAGCAAGGTGAAGCATCGATCTTTATTGTAAGACGGCCCTCTGGTCGCGCTTGACACCGCCGCTCCCAGAATCGATGCACCCTGGTTGCGAAGAAAATTCAGAAAATTAGCCAGGCGACCGTTTCCCGTGCAGGCTGTATTGTTCTTCTTGAAAGAACACGAATTTTTCTTCCACGTTATAAAGCAACGCTTGGAAAGATGTACTAGCGGTTAATAAATATCGAAGAGATTAATGGAATTTCGCGCACGCTTATATATTTCTTTGAATGCAAAAAGATCGTGCCGAGCATGCAAGAACGCAATTTTAACTGGAAATCTGCCACGCGTCATTCCGTGTATCGGTGT